AAAAACAAATATACCGTAGCCGGGTTCCCTGTGCTTTTTACAAGTAGCTAAACATCGCCCATTTAAAATAAAAACAAAAAAGTTGCTCTCCAGTACAGACACGTGACCGTTAACTGCAAAAAGGGCCTATTAGTTGTTAAGAGTTCAAAACTTGATAAGGGAATTTAAACGGGGATTCTGAAAACGACTTTAAAAACCCAAAAATCCTTACAGCTCCGGTTCCCACGGATAATTGTTTCAAGGAAAGGTCGCAGTTGTCGCGCACAGCAAAACTACTTAAAATCATTTTGTTTTTGGCGTTTGATCCTTGAATTTTCCGAGTGTAGTAGTGTAGACAATTTTCTCCAGAAAATATAGTTTAAAAACATTCTCGTATCCAGACCCTTCTCGTTTCTAAACGTATAGTATTAAGTAAAAATTTTTAGTGTAAAGAAAACTTTGTTTCTGAATAATTCAAAAAATTCCTGAATTTTATTTCTCGTACTGTAAATGTAGACAATTTAGTATGCCTTTACAGCGGTTTTCCATATTCTGGAACTCCGACATTCAACGGCTTGTTGGGAAGTTGGTTTTTTCACTGCCGCCAGTCAAGAACATAAAAGGTACCGACTGATTATGTTTGATTGACGGCAGCGAAAGGCTAAATTTCGGCGTGCGGCTCGTAGACACAGAGTTCACAGAATATGGAAAACCGCGGTAAAGGTTTACAATAGATTTATATGCTTTTTAAATTATTATAATTCCTACCTATTGTTAATATAGCTATTAAGCGAGTCCATAGTCCATGCGAAAAAAGGCGTGTCCCTTGAGATACCTTAGTCAATCAGTTATATAGAAGACTACAACTTTCACTAGAAAGAGTACATCAAAATTTGTGATCCGTCAAAAATTTCGGTATGGTAACATTAAATGATTAAAAGCTACAGCTGTTTGAAATTAGAAAGGTTGTAYGGAAACGACAACCAAGGGCCTACCAACATCGCTATCATGTTTTTGAAACATTTCAAATGCTTATCACTCTTCAGGGATTTAATATATGTTCTAAAACTCATGAATAWTTAATGAGGAGAAAACAAAGCARATCWCTACTGTGACRGTGGTTTGGAAATGTGTTCTTAATTTGCATTAAATTTCGTAAACTTTTTCTTTGATTTTCTCCAAGAAWTATTCATGAGTTTGAGAAGTAATTAGAAACACCACAGGTAGCCCAAGCTTGGTTTCTGTGGTGTCCTATTATAAGGAAATGTATGGAGATTCATCAAAAATKTCAATAAAATCATTGAAACGTTAAATAAGGCCTCGAAATTTCACCCGATCATTGAGAAATAGCACTTCTTTGGCTCTGCGTGGTTATTTTTTGAATTTAGCCAGTTTTAAGATTTTTTCCCCCACCACTAAGAAAAAAAGACAAAAATTTGGCGCTGGAAAGGAAATTCGAAGACGTACGAGGTTTCAAAGACTCGTGATGGTTCGCTTTTGGGCCTCGAGTCCAACCTTCTCTTATTTCTTAGTGGTGGGGGGAAAAAATCTTAAAACGGGCAAAATCTAAAAAATAACCACGCAGAGCCAAAGAAGTGCTATTTCTCAATGATCGGGTAAAATTTCGAGGCCTTATTTCACGTTTCAATGATTTTATTGAAATTTTTGATGAATCTCCATACATTTCCTTATAACAGGACACCACAGAAACCAAGCTTGGGCTACCTGTGGAAACACTTGAGAGATAGAGTTTGATTTCCAAACACCTCAAAGTCAGTTAAATTGCTTATAAGCCTTTGCACAATATTTTCAGAATTGATTCTTTAGATAGTGGATAGTTGATTGTGAAAATATTTCGTCAYTTGAATGTCGGGTCTTTAAGATACGAAGGTTTATATTCCAAATATGTTMATGACTATGACATAACATAAGGGATCATTTAATATACAACACTGCACTCGTTCTGGAATACAGTATTTTAAAAGCATCCCCCTTTTACTCGWRRCTCACGTAAAGGTTCTTACAAATTTGTTTTCAAAAAATGTCCAGCGTTCAATATTAAAAATTGACACAAAATAACTCAAATCCCTTATGTTACGTCATAGTCATTAACATATTGGAAATATAAACCTTCTTATCTCAAAGACCCGACATTCAAATGACGAATTACTTTCACAATCAACTATTCACTATTTAAAGAATCAATTCTGAAAATATTGTGTAAAGGCTTATAAGCACTTTAAAATAACTGGGCTGCGCCTCGTTTTTTCAACTCACTTTCCGGTGTTTGGAAATCAAAGGAAGAACTCTCTCGCGTGTTTGAAATATTACACAACAGAACTTTCCGAAATTACTAATTTAGACATGGTCTTTCTTGTAATGAAAATATATTTTTGAAATTATTAATTGATCGTGGTGCTCGTTCCCAATCTTACACTCGTTTTTCATGTGGTCTATGAGTGAGAATGAGTGAGCGTGCAGGCAAAGTCTGCTAGATTACTCGCGTGACTGACAAATGCTTGGTTGGACGTCAATCAAATTCACAATTCAGTATAAAAACCCTTTTCGAAATAGCGATTCTTAGGCTAGAAATTTGAGGCCTAGGGCAAACGCGGATATCCATTGTTTTTAATGGAGTTCGGTGCATGGAAAGTTCGACGTTTGCCCTAGGCCTAATAGAGTTTATAGTGAATTCGTAAATCGTTTCGCAGTTTTATATGCTAATGAGTTCTGCTGATATTCTGATAARCTGTGTGGAGCAGACTAAATAGAAATACTGTGAAAACCAGTTGAGAACTTCCACCAAAAATAAAAACAAAGAAACCAATAAAAAGACTCCTTGTACTTGCGAAAAGTAATGGGGAATCGCAACAACTGGTTAACATAATGGAATTTGAGAGATTTTATAGTTAGTTACTCTAGGAGGATTCTAATAAAGCAGGTTAATATTAGCAGACCTCATTCGCACGGAAAACTTCRATATACGAATTCACTTTTAGGTAAGTTATAATTCTGGTTTTTCTTGGAATTTGTGTGGAGGTGGTATTTGTTCGTGTTGATTTGTTTGTTTTTGTTGTTGTTGTTGTGGTGGTGGTGGTGCTTGTTGTGTGTTTTCGTCGTTTGCTGCGGTGAATTGTACTTTGTTGTTTAGGACGTCTTGGATCCACTGTAACATGTGCTTTAGTTTAGGTTCTTTGCCTTTCTTTTTGAACCAGGAACTTCGGTTCTGAAGTTTAGAAGTAAAAAGAATCTGACATGAGATTAACCAAATAAGTAAACAAACGAACAAATAAATAAACAAACAAACAAACAAACGAATGAACGACCGAACAAACGAACAAGCAAACAAACAAACGAAGGAACAAGCAAACAAACATTATAATATAGACAAACAAACATACAGACAAACAAACAAACAGACGAACAAACAAACAAACAAACAGACAAACAAACAAGCAAACAAACGCGAACGAACGAACGAACAAACGAACAAGCAAACAAACAAATATAGACATAAAAATGCAACACTAAAACACAGAAATAATACTAATGGGAATGACCGACGCGTCAATTGAAATTGAAAAAAACAAACATTGGGCTAACGCATGAATGAGRAGTATGAAAAGAAATCAAGCGTTTTACCAATTTTGGGTCGACAACYCCAATGGCTGGTGAATTTACGTCAATCTTGTAAGATTTCTGCCAGAATTCTCTCATCTGTCAAGAGAAAAACATTWAAAAAAACAAACACTTTAAGAGGCTGATAGCTATAAACCATTTATTTTGGGTATGATGTTTCCCCATTTTAGACGACGTGTCATRTCTCTTGAGAATATGATTTTTTGTTTGAGTTGTATCCATATTCATGTCTTTTCATGTGCACCCGTTAAACAAAGAAATGATACTCTAGGGAATGACGTGCTATGTAATGGGGAAAAACATTACACCCAAAATAAACGACTACCGCGGAAAAACCTAAAAAGTGTGTGTGTGTGGGTGTGAGGAGGAGGTGGTGGGGTGGTGGGGAGGGTTGGGGGAGGGAGGGGCAAGAATATGAGACTACTGAGTGTGGGAAAAGGGGAAAAGTGTGGGGCACCTAACTCCGCGGTCCCTGTCTAAACGACGTATTCTTACCATGGGGAAAGGGTCTGGATCAACCCAAACGAACGTAAGCTTTTCGTTGTCTTTCACTTCTCTGGCCAGTTTCTTGACAAGAGAGAAAAACTTGGCGCCATCTAAGAGAGAAAAAGGTTAATAGTAATAAGGCGGGCCCGACAAAACAGGAGAACGGTAACGGATACAGAAGTTGTATAGTAAGTAACATATACAGTATGAGTGGCCGTGTTGTATATCGGATATACAAACTCGAGGCTGTATATAGAACTGTATATCGGATACAACACGGACAMGAATACTGTAGATTGCTTGTCAAACGTCTAGGTTAGTTCCTTTGTGTTTCACTAAAATTTTCAAAATTAAAGTGAATCTGCCCAAGAAAATCCAACTTTAAGTTTATGCAAATGAACACGGTTTTGTATCAGATTTACAACACTCTTCACGGTCGTGATTTCTGTTGTGTTTTCCTCATGAATCATTAATGAGTTTGACAACGGTATTTACCTTCGGTTTTTGGCCTGACAAAGGCGGTTATAAGAAAACCCTCCACTCTAGCCGACTGAAAACAAATTGGAATAAAAATTCAAAATTCGCACGCTGTTGCACCGTGCGTTTGCCTTAATGAAAGGCCGACAGTTCTTACCCAAACATCATGTATATCTTCTAGGCGTATCTTTGCAATAACCTGTCTTGATAAAAGAAAATTATTGGTCATTAATAGGCGATGGAGAGTTACGAACTTTGTCGACCTCTCGACCTACCAATGTCTCTGTTGTTTCGCCTCTAAAAAGTCAGGTACACTCTCTTTTCCTCGGACAAACTTAACTCTGTAGCTCGTCTTGAAGACCTGCTCTCCGCACTCTACTCTAATCTCATAAACAGTAAATGTTTCACTAGATAATTGTCATTATACCAATTTTTTATTGTCCATTTTCCGCCTAGTGTTTTTTTTTTTTTGTTGTTGTTGTTTTTTGTTTTTCCCCCTGGACGACCCACGATGCCATACGATTCAAGATGGCCGCCACATCGTCGAAGTAGTCTATTCAGTAAATGCGAAGGCGCTGGAATGAAACTATCAATGCATATAGAAAATAGAAAAATCATATCTGACAACACTTACTTTTTATTTTTTGTGATAAACTGTTTTATGCTTTCTTCTGTTACGCTGTCCTAAAAATAATACACGGGAACGATTATAGTGAGTTAAGTATTAATAATTAAGAGGAAATGTTTTTCAATAATGAGCAATAATGGAAAAAAAGCGCCAAAAACTAGACTTTCGTATGAGTTTTCATCCCAATTTTCGTTTTGGGTTAACACTCAAAACCTTTTTTAAACAGTTAGAAACTGATGTACTAT